AAACATATTAAACGATTCACTATATGTGCACTCTGTAGTTTAATATTGCGTGTATCTTATACATAGGTATATGCCAGGGCTTCAAAACGTTAGAACGGAAACAATTTTCATAAAATAAAACATTTGTGTGTTGTATTTAATATTTACACTATTGTTGACTAGAGGTCCGATGAAAATATATGGACACTACGTGCTTTTAGAGTCTGCGCAATTTAAGTATACAATTTTCTATTATAGGAAATTGTATTATTATATACATATAATCTAATATTTTAAATTCACCTGATACTTATGTTATTATTGTACAAGATTCAATAATTACCAGTATATATGCACAAAATACGAATGTATACAAATATACAATTATTATTATTAATTATCTATAGCCTATTGGCAATGTTGGTTGGTACTGTTGGTAGAAAGGTAAGTCGTAACGCAAATTACAAAAACTACTGAAAGTCTGTATGGAGGTAGGTGATTACTTTTTCGGAATTTCAATAACACCGTAGTAATTTCATTGAACGTTTTATTTAAATTAACACAATTGTAACGAAATCACTTAAAAGTAATGTATTATGTAATATGTATATAAATACCTATGTAAGATAATTTGTATGGTGTTATATTTCACGTTATTAAAATATGTCAGGTACATATCGTACATGAGTGTAGACTCTACAAATTCTTATGGGAAATTCATGAGACGAATGTGAATGTAAAATATAAAATATTTTATAAAACAAAAAAAATAAAAATGTTAGAAGAAAAAAATACTTATAGAAAGGGTTCTAGGGCCACATGTAGCCCTCGGGTCGTCTATTTGAGACCACTGGTGTAAAGTGTATAAAAAAAGTAAAACTTAGGGACTATGAGAAGTAAGAATTAGGATATTCGAGAAAAATCAACTAAATTAATTTATGATTTCGGAAGTTTTAGACACATAATAAACACATATCAACAATATTATCAAAGATTCCTGCAGGAATTGATGTTATTAGCTAAAAATAAAAGAGTTCAGATCAAAAATAAAATTTGATTCAAATCAATTATTAATTAAGTATTATAACTTATGAGCTATGAGTAAACCATTGTCTAAAATAATAATTAGGTAATATTATTATTGAATATATCAGTATATCACCGATCACCAAATACGGCATAGGTATAAGTGACTAGATACTGAATAGGTGAATATGTTTGATCTATTGGCTATTCTGTGGTATAACTCGTATGTCTAAAACCCATTTCACCTTAGATAATATGTATACCTACATGTTATGTAGGTATACATATATATATTATCTATGCGTTTCACAGCCGTGCGTATCATACGCCCGTTTTACGATTTATATTATTTAATGTCTATAATGAAGTAGGTACCTAATATAGATAGTTTCATTTTTATTAAAACTTGTAAATTAATAATATTATAATTTTAAATGTTTTTTATTAAAAATAATTATGGTTTAAACCGATAAAATTAATTTTAATTTTACACATTGAACCCATGACAGTTTTTTAGGCAAGGATTTAAATTTTAACCAGGTTAAGACAAAAATTAAACACATTTAGGAAGCTAAAATCGTCTATGGTTGGCTAAGTCCCCTCCCCTACATTAGTTACGCCGATGGAAGTAAATGGTCACATTGATGTGTTCATCTATGATCCATTACATACATTTAAATCTCCTGAAAATACTAACCTGATCCAATTTGAAGGTCAAAGAATTTTTTTAACTACAATGTAAAATTAAAACCCATTTTAAAATTACTATCATCACTCCGCTTATATAATCTAAAATGCCTATTATGTTGTTATTTAAAATAGTAAGACTTGTAATATAATAGATAACGATAAAAAAAAATAGTAGGTAAATAATTCAAATTTTTTTAATAATTTTAAATTACCTATGTTAACAATATTTCTAAAAAGTAGTAACGTCAATTTTCTATCACATTTTAAAAATAGCAGAGGCACCGCCTGGCGCATATATATATAATGTATCAATGTATGTGTACATAAATTACAAAGGTAATCATATTACTTATAAGGTATAGCGTAGTAATGTATATGTAGGCTATATTATGCGTTTATCATAAAAAATTAATTAAATATTATTAATAAAAGTTAAGACATATCATTTTGTTTATCTATATAGGTACCTATATTTATCTAATAATGCGTATGTTTTCCAATGCCCGGTGGTGTGTGACTTATCATCTTCTGCATTAAAATAATATGTAGGTGCATATACGTGCATAATATCTATTTCATTACCTAATCTTAGTTCTTAGTAAATCCATATCTGCAGCAATGCAGTGTATGTTGCACACTTATGCATCATTTTGCTTTAACTTATTTTCATGAAGATAATGAATTTTAAACATTCTTAAAAGACATGCTTGTAGCCTGTAGGCCTAGTGCCTATACGATCTACACTCTGATTGTTGAATATTATATTAAGTCAATAAAAGTATTCATTAATAGGAAGGCCGTCTTGACGAAGTTCGAGGATCGTGGCAGAGTAAAATTGCGGGGCCTAAAATATCATTATCGTCAAGTGACCCTTTATAATGGAGCAAGGGCCCAAATAGACTAAAAAAATATAGTACCTTGTACCTAAAATTATAAAAATAAGTAAATTAATTAATAACAAAACAAATCATTTACTTAAATTAGTTAAACTTAATATAGGTAGGTATTTATACTGATAAAATCAGCCGATAAATATAGTAAGACAATATAATATTATAAAAATGTATTATAAATTAAACATCCTACTTTTTAAATCAGCATATGTATCAATAATATCGTTATATTTTAATTTTTCCGAAATGTGTTTCTATTGATACCCATTAGGTAGGTACTAGGTAGGTATAGCTAAGAATAAGATGCTGTGTTTTTCTAAGGAAAGACTGACAGAGTGGTTTTTTTGCTTTTTTTTATCAATTTCAGATTTAAAAAGTGGTGCGTCAGTCTGCGTTATTTAATATTATTATTACTTATTATTAAAATGGTAGCCGGTAACTTTAATTAATATTGTTCTTAAATTATTAGTGATACTGGAAAAATATTAAATATGATGATGTAAAATTGGCCTGTTTTGGAACCGAATTACAACAAAATTATAAACGTTGTGTCAATATGCAATCTTATCCAATTTTGAACTTAAAATGTCTGTAAAATAACTGTATTCATATATTTTTTAGATATTTTAATTACGGAAAATTATTTTAAATTTTCAATTTGATAAATAGTGTCGAAATTTGAACTATAAATGCTTATAAAAAATTTTTTTAATATTTTTCAACTGTTATTGTAACAAATTATCAAGAGTCTTGTATTAATTTTTCATGCTTTTTTACCCTACCAATAAAATTTTATAGACATTTATAGCAAAAAAAAAAAATGAAAAATTGAAAATGCCCGTGAACGGTTCAAAATATTTTGAAAATTTTATCAAGTATATGAATTGAAGAAATAAACATTTGGTGTAAACTTCAAGAGTCTACAATAATTTGTTTTTGAATTACAATAAAATAAGAAAATAGCTACAAGAGAAATCGAGTTAAAAAATGATTTTTTATTTGAAATTTAAAAAGATTAACAGATTCTGACAATTCTACTGGGCGTTATAGTTTTTCCTGTAAGACGCGTTTTTGTACTAAAAACACGCCGGTTCCGACGCCTTTAATCATGAACTTGTTTAAAATTAGATTTAAATAAAAAATATTTTTTTTAAATTAATTATTACCAAATATTATGATACTAAACTTAAACGAGCCGTGAGCCGAACCCAGTTTTATCGACCATGTTATCGTTTAATAAATTAGTTCCCGAGCAATAAATATTAGTTTTATCCGTAATATATGACTGACGTTATAGATAATACCACGTTTTACTTTAGCATTGGGGTAAAAAATATAAGATGATTAAGAAAAGTAAAAATCATAAAATAAGTAGTTATATTAGGTTATAATATGTAAGCTTTTATGATTCAACACAATTTATATTATTTTTATATATTAATCCATTACAATATCTATAGCATTTTGTAACATTCTGTCAGTTTTTTGTTGAGATATGCCTATACCATTAAATTGGTTTTAAAATTCGATGAGGACTTTACTAAAAATATGAACATTAGGGTGAATTTTATGAAATTCATTTTTTAGATGACTACAAAACTACAAAAGGATTCACTCGCATTGGTACCTATTTCAATTTAAAATTCCACTTTGATCAACCCACTAATGAGGAGGATAAGTTGGGTCATTGCTTATTTAATTGTCAACAAGGTAATCTGAAAACTTAATTACTTTGGGGTTGGATGGCATGATTGCCCCTAAGGTAAATTCAAATACATCGGGAACTTTTTCGGGAGATAAAAACAATAATATATATAAAACATATATATTATATGTTTTTTGTAACAATTTTTTTATATCTATTGTTTATTTTATTTTGTTTAGTTGTAAGATACTTTAATTGTTGAGCCAAATTTTTATAAAGGCTAAATAAAAAAAACAAAAAAAACAATAATTTGAGACATAGACAAGGCCACCCACTTACTTATTTCCGATTCACTTTTATATTCAACACTCAGTCCAAAGTTCTGAATTTTCCTCCGCCATGATTGACTGAAATGAAATTGACATCCCACTGAACTAACATTCAGCCATATTTTAATTAATATAGTAGGGACAAGGTAAGTTGAACTAATTTTTATCAAAACATTGTATACATTGTATAATAATAATTGTTGTTTTATATTACTGTTAACTATTAACATGTAACTTAGAAGTCAACGTAGTACATACATACATACTTATAGTATACATCATACAAATAGATAGAAATTAAACATAATAATACAAAAATTCATTATTTGCAATGAACATCACAAACATTTGTACATAATAATAAAGTTTAATCAGTTACTTTTTGTATTAAAATATATCATTCAACTTACATTATAAACAATTAACAATGTAAAAATGAGATTTGTAAAATCAAAAAAAAAAACTTTTAACATCTTTAATTTTACTCCTAAAAAACCTTAAAATAAATGTGTAGAGATCATAAGAATAAGGATTTCATATTAGATAAAGATATTTTATTTCCTTTAGTTAATACCGTATTGTTTGGCAACTTCTACTGGTAAAGGTACTAACCAATAATCAGGTAATTGATTATTGTGCTGTTTTAGGTATTGATTGATAAGCTCATTAGGGCCCGGATGTTCTTTTCCATTGGGTAGTCTAATATAAAACTTAACTTCTCCATTTAAATTTTGCTTTGAAATAACTTCACATTTCACATTAACTGTTGAAGGGTTATTTGGTAGATGACCATTTGACCTCCTTTTGATTGAATTAAAGTGGGAGTCTATCCTTCTCTGCGGTGTCTTGACCATAGTGACCTCAATACCTTTTGGTACATGAACATTTGCTGGCATAATAGTAACATTTTGTGAAAGTTTATGTATGATAGAAGATGTGGCTTGATATTTACTATAGTTGGTAGGTGTTATTTGCCTGTTTGAAGAATCAGGGTTTAATGATTTATCTAAATTAGTTTTTAAACTACGAGGTTTGTTCACATTTAAAGGTGAACTCTTAGGTTTTACAGTCATAGAAACAAATTGAACATCATCTTCATCATCACTGATAATAATTTGATCATCATCTTCTAATGTAATAACAGCAGATTCTATCTGTCTATCTTGTTCATTGAATTTTCTAATTTTATTTTCAGTACAAGTAGAGATTGATGTTTCAAAATTATCATTAAGAATTTCACAATCGTCTTGCATATCATCATCTAGATTTATAATTTCTCCTCGTTTTAAACCATCAGGTGGTTTATCGTTTTCTTCTTTATCACTATCAATTAATACAACTTCTTCACAACTGGGAACATTATCTATAATATTAATATTAACTAATCTTTTGTTATGACCATTTACAAATGTATTAATATTATTACTAGAATTTACTTCATTTTGTGTTTGTAGTAATTCAACTGATTTGATAGATTTATCTTTCTTATTAGTACCAAACAATTTTGTGTTGTGTTTTGAAATTTTATCTTTTTCCCTCAGTTGCTTTTCTAGCTCAACAAGTTTAGATGAGGTTCGCAGTGGTTGTTTGACTTTATTTTTAGGCTGGTTCATAGCACCCCATTCGTCTTCAGAATCAGTAAAATCAGATATGGATTTAGTATCAAGTTCACTAAAGTATTCTTCAGATTCATAATACTTATCAGATTCAAAATCTTGCCTTACAACTAATTTTCTTCTGCGTTTCTGCAAAATAACTTCATTATTCTGAGCCAAATCTAAAAAAAAATATAATATATTAGCTTAAATAGTTTATAAAATAATACATAATTAAGAGTATAATGTATAAAATATTGTTGATTTTAATAAATAGAATATATTTGGTATATTATTCAGAATAATTATAGTATAATATCAATATAAATAACACATACAAATATTTTAAGATTTTAAGCTAAAATGTATTGGACATTGATACAACTAGAAAATAAAATGCATCATAAAGCAACATAGCAGACCAAAAAATAAATGTCATACAATATTGAAAAAGCATTGAAATTATAACATTTATAATTATTTAAAAAAAAAAAATAGGATCTTATCAGATGTATAAAATATTTACGTTTATTGAAATTTCATTTGGTTAAAATATGGTTAGCTTGTTAACAAATCAAAATACAAACCAAAGTACTATAACTGAGCCAACCTAAAATATAATGATAGATATTTTAATTGTTATTGTTATTCTTTCTCCTATAGTCCTATTCAGCAAAGAGGTACATTTTTGAAGAATAAGCTAAAAGGTAGAAATGGTTTAATTAGAGACCGGATTTATGTGTGCTTAAAATCTTAAAAATAAGATTTCTATGCTCTATAGTTTCATCAAAATAATCTTTTGTATACAAAATACACCAAAATATTTTGAAAATTTAATGGTGTATAGAAAATACGCATTTAAACATTCAGAGAACATTTCATGTACCTACGGTATTTCTTTCTAGAGTTACGCAAAAAAACCAAAACCAATTTTGAGTAAAAATTCCCGTCTTTTGACCCCCAAAGTATCAACTAAATTCATTGTAAAATCAATACACTCTTCAGAATCGCTCAGCTCAGAATCTAAAATTGACTGAAAGAGTAAAAATGTTATCAACTAACACAGAGGTGCTATGGTCTATGAGTCATTATATTATGTAATTTGTCATTATTAATGTCACTAAATATATTTATTTTTAAATTAGGCATTGTATAGGTCTTTGATATAATATGAATATTTAATGTATTTTAATTCCAAAATTTTCTATGCACAATGCATTTCTACTGAAGAAATAATTTGTCGTTTCTATATTATGTTTGAAATGATAACTAAATTGCCCAGCTTTGCCTTCACTGTAAAGTCAGAAGAACAAGGCAGTTGACGTCATCTGACTATCGCAGACAACAATCCTAATTGTATTATGAACAGAGTATTTAAATATAATAATACTTTATAATTTTAAATTTAAAATAATTATTAAATAAAAATATATATTACCTTGAACTATTGGCTTTGATTCTTTTCCTTCCAAAAGTGATATATCATCTTTATTTTTTGAACAAACCAATGTTTTACTTTGCCCAATATATTCATCATCATTCTGATTAGCATCAAGCAGATTATTAGTATCGTATTTTGATATTTTCCCTTCTTCCAATAATTGCTTTTCTAATTCAAGAAGTTTAGAAGAGGTCTGCAGTGATTGTTTGACTTTATTTTTAGGCCGATTCATAGCACCCCATTCATCTTCGGAATCAGTATAATCAGATATAAATTTATCATTTTCACTAACAGATTCATCAGATTCAACTGTATTAAAATCTTGCTGTACGATTAATTTTCTTCGACGTTTCTCAACAATAATATTTTCATTTAGAGCTAAAATTTAAAAAATATAACATAAGCTTGAATAATTTGTACAATAGTGTAAATAGAAAGTATAAAATCAAAGAACTCGCAGTATAATAGGTATGAGCATACCTTGTCACTGAGTAGGTAACTGTAATGGGTATGTTATATTTTAATTCAATTACAAATCATTATATTTATATCAGAGAAACAATTCTGATTGGAGATGGTGTTAGCCTTTTTATCAAAATGTTATATCCCAATAATATTATTATTATAGGATTATAATATAAATTTGTGCCATACTATCATCTATGTGTCGAAGTAAAATAAAATAGTTAGGGTACGTAAAAAATATTAAAAATAGTAGGGGATTTCCGTCCCTTTTATCACGTTAAATTCATGCCCATTTGGATTACTTCTCACTATCATATAATAATTTGGTTAACACAAAAAATATTATAATTTCAAAATTTTCAATTGCTAAATTGGATATAAGGGGATTAGGATGATATGAAAGTCTGTTATGAAATCTTTTGTAATATGATATGGCTTCAGCATGAACAGTTTTTATGTTTAAATCTGTGTGCAGAGAGTAGTTGGAGACATATGGTGGGGATTTAGTGATTAATCTTAAAATTTTATTTTGAACGGTTTGGATTTTATTTACATTAGTTACTTTCGCATTGCCCCACAATTGTAGGCCATAAGTCCACATGGGCTTGATTAATGATTTATATATGAGAAGTTTGGTGTTTAAATAAGTGTGCTTGTTGGATATTAGTGGTTTAACTGAGCGTAGTCGTTCATTTAGGGCGAGTTTTTTAGCTTTGATATGAGGTCCACAGGTCAGGCGACGGTCAAGGATTAGGCCTAAGTACTTAACCGATTGGGATGAAGGGATTGGTATGTTATTAAGAAAGACTTCTGGGCAGGTTGGGAGACGAAGAGTGAATGTAGAATGAATGGATTTTGATTGGTTGACTTTAACTCGCCATTTATCATACCAGACAGACATTAGGTCAAGGTGGTTTTGAAGGTTTAAAGAAGCAATGTGAGGGTCTTCATGTACTGATATAATTGCCTTATCATCCACAAATTCTAACTGAAAAATAATTTACAAAATGTTCACAGCTATAAATAGCCCAAAAAGAGTTAAAATAGTTTGAATATTTTACCGAATGTGGGAAATGCTAATATAAGTATTTGGTGAAAATTTCAAGAGTCTACGATTATTAAATTTTTGAGTTACACCAAAAAGTAAAATACATTTTTTCAAAAATTAGTCTTGCATAAAAATTACTACTTTTTTCATTTTTAACGCTTACTAACTTGATTTGCTTTTTAATCAGAAATTATGCTATACATTAACGATGTTGGAATTTTTGTACATTTGACCTCCTAAAAAACCAACTAGAATACTAGAATTGCTATTTTACTAGAACACAATTAAAGTTGTAAGTTTAAAATATATATTACCTTGAGCTATTGACTTTGAATCTTTCTCTTCCCAAAGTGATACATTATCTTTATCTGTTTGAATTCTATCTGGATATGATTCACAATCCTTAAATAATTTTATTTTAGAATCATTGTTTAAGACAATGAAATTATATTCTTCTGATTCAATTTTCTCAATAAAATTTTCTAGAGCACTTATCAAATTTTCGGGAACTGATGTCCCTTCTACATCCAATTCATCAAGAAAAGTTCGAAGACCTTCTACCGAATCAGCAATTAGCTTAAAATGTTTTTCGTTTTGTATCGAACGAAAAGCTAAAGAAACACCAATATAAATATAGTATAAGTTGTATAAAATATAAATCATTAATAAAGATGTTTGAGGAAATTAAGGTAACGGTCCAATATGCGACCTACACACTGATTTACGGTCCAATATGCGACTTACGTTATAAATGTAAAATACAATTAATTTGTTATGAAACGTATTTTTTATATCAGTCAAAAATTCATCAAAAATGGTTTTTGGATTTTGACACGATCTCCACCACTCTTCTCGGAGTTGTTTATCTAGTAAAGGAGACGCCCCATTTTTTTGATATTATATTTGGATTTCACAATTCTCTATAAGCCTTCAATTTGTTGAGAGTGTGAGTTCTCCTGTTTCCGGGTCAATAAAAAATTCTGAATGGTTAACTGTTTGATGAATATATCCATGATGATTTAATGTTGAGTATGCTCACTATAAATTGTCGTTCCAGTTTTTATTTCATTTTTAATAATTTGTAAAAAAGTTTCTCGATCCCATTTTTCTACTATAAAAAATCGCCGTTCTAATAATAAGTCTGGCCGTTTCCAACAATTTCCAAATACCCATGGGCCTACTATACGATTCCCATAATTTTTATTATAAAGAAACCTGTAGATCAACTCAATCGTATCGGTAGGTCGAGTAACATTTGTAGGTCGCATATTGGACCGTTACCGAAATTAACATACCATTCATAACTAGATTACTTTCAACTTTTACTTCTTCTTTATCAGTTTTTATTGATTCAAGAAATTCAAGACTTGGCTAAAAAAAAATAATAATAATTTTAATTACAATAAAAACTATATAAATTATAATTAAAAATTGATTACTTCGTCATATGGAATTTTGTAATAATATATCCTTAAATCTGGCATTGAATCAAAAAAAAAATATTCCTCGGTTTCCAAATCATTCTTCCATATTGTACATTGTTTTTCATTACAATTGGTTATAATATCATTTATAGTTTTAAATTTAATCTAAAACAAATATAATATATAAAATATAAATCTATATAACATATGAGTAACAATTCTTTAAATATTTTAGAAATAATTAATACATTTAAAAGTCTCAAGTTAAACTCACAGTAACATAATCACAAAGTGCTTTAACAAGCCAAACTTTCACGAAATATGAGAGTTCACTATAGTCTTTTTCAATTAAAGGATTCTTTTCACTCACGACAGCCCAAAAATCTGGATGGATGCCCAGTGAATTCATTACCTGATATATAAAATTGTTTTTACAAGTTATTTTACATAAATATTTAAAAAAAATTGTATTAAAAGTAAAAAACACTACTCACAATGACTTTATTTTGTTTTTTTGAATGGTATACTTTACACCAGTCTGATACTTTTCTTGAAAGTTTTTCAGACCAAATCTTATATGGCATGACTTGACCAATAAATTTTGTTTTTTTTACTGGCATCAAAAGAGTAGTCATGATTTTACCCATAGTCGTAGATTGTTTAGGCATTAAAAACATTCTTTCAATTTCGCCTTGGTTAATAATATCAAGATCAAGTTTTTTAAATAAGATAGCCACAAAATTACCGATTTCTGGTAGCTGAAATATTAAGAAAATTAATTTAGATTTAACAGTCTAAACACAAAATACCTGTCTAACTTATATTAATGACTGTAATTAACCTCCCACATTGAACTGATATATCGATGAAATACATCATTAAAATAAACTTCATTTTCCCAACTTAAAATTTTTTCTAAGATATGTGCATTATCTTCATCGGTGGTAAGAGTAGTAGATAATATTTTATGATATTTTTTTAATCGTTCAGGGCGACAATGTGCAACACTTCTTAATAATACTGAATCATAACAATCTAAACCGTAACAATTGTATATATATATATTAATTATAATGTGGTACCTAATATGCAATATAATTAATAATTAAAATAAATCAACAACATACCTTTTGGATACCTCAATTTAGAACTAGGTTTTCCTTCCATGTTTAATAAATTGAATGTAAGACTAACATCAGCCATTAATTTATGATTTCTAAAAATAAATAATTTATTTATGGAAATGCAATAAAAAATAAATGAATAATTATTACTCATCAAGGTGGCTGATTTTTTCTTCTAATAGTTCTTCAAGTTCTAATGATTTTTTAGTATGATCACTTCTAGTACCATAAAATGAATAACAGTTTAAGAATACTTCCCTTATATCTTTCATTACATCAGTAATGGAGCAGTATTCTCCATTTTTAAATTTTGCATCAACTTAAAATAAAATAATTATTGATTATATAAATTACAAAAATGTTATGAAAAAAATTATATACTTTTCTTAAAATCAATTGGCTCATGTATAGATTCTGTATAATCAATATCAACAGAATTGTTTGATAGATCCTTTAAAATAGGAGGTGCTTTCAAATATATTTCTTCAAATATTCTATAAAATAAAAATATATAATATTCAAAATATATCAACACCATATGATATATTAATTAAAAATTTATCATAAACCATTCAGCATAAAAATTATCCATTAATAAAATTAAAATGTAAAAATGTGTTCAATACATCATAGTTTTTTAGTTCCCTACAGTATAGAAAGTAAACAAACTATATTTTTTCATTAATTATTGTGATGCATTGTTTTACTTACTTGTAAATTTCTGATATCTCTTTATTTTCTACTTTTTTGATATTGTTTGATTCATTCATGTTTACCTATAACATTGTAATACATTAAAAGATATATTGAGGATTGAATGCACCTATGTAGAGGTGTATGTATACATAATTTTTTTTTAATAAATATTTAACTTGACGTTAAAAGTAATCTATACATTGAGTGAATTGCACGGCATATAATGTTTCAACTTTTAACATTTAAAAATAACAAGAAACTACATGATATACCTAAATAATAATACTACTTCAATATCAGTAAGTGCTAGAAGTATGTTGAATAATATTGCTTTTTAAAGTTCTTTTACAGTTTTTAAGGAATATTTTTAAAACATGTACACTAAAGACTTTGAACCTTACAAGTATCCACTAAATAGACATCTTCGTAATAGTTTTGATATTAAGAATAAATCAAAATGGTTTACAAATAACAATTCTAATATTCACATAAAACCTAAATCTAAACACCAAAGTATCGGTACTAAATGGAGAAGAATGTTGAATGATTACTCACAGAATACGACTTTACATGGACTTAGATATGCCGGGAATAACGAACTAAGTGGAAGTGAAAGGTAAATAAAAATAACATAATAAAATATTATCAATGAATTTTATTTACTATTGAATAATATTTTTAATTGCACAATATGGAATTTTAAGGTGTTTTTGGATAATATCTTTTGGCTTAGCAGTTATTACAGCAATTTATTTTATTGTTAACTTGGTCCATAAATGGCAAGACATGCCTGTAATTATAAGTCTATCGCCAAAAGCAACACATCTTACAAGCATACCATTTCCCGCCATAACCATATGTAACATGAACAACGCAAGAAAATCTGTTGCCCAAAATATTTTAGAAACGTAATGTATACCTAATTAACTAGCTACCTACTTACAATGATTTTCGTAAAATACATTAATAATGTGTTACAACTTATATTCGCGCATAGATCCTCAAAACTCGAAAGCAATATTGACCGACGTCTATTAAGTGATTTCTGTGACGAAGATCCATTAACAATGGATTCGTCAATTGACAATTACACAGGCGATTGGGATTCATTAAAAAAATTTATGATCAGAGTATCTCAACCTTGTCATGAAATGATTGTATCATGTCTATGGGCAAACTACCCTAAAGTTTGTTCAGAACTATTCAACCCTTCATTAACAGACGAAGGTATATGTTGTTCATTCAACAAAGTAAAGCCGGATTATATATTTCGGAACCCAAAACATCTATCAGATTTAAATGTTACCTTTCCAAATCCGTCTGCAAATTGGACTCCTGAAAATGGATACCCGCCGAATACGCCTGCTGAATATACACCTTGGAGGCCCTGGGGCGCCGGTAATCATCTAGGACTAACTCTTGTTTTGGATGCTGAAATAGAGGAATATTATTGTTCATCAGAAGTCAGCTATGGATTCAAAGTAATATTATAAATTTATAAGACCAAGATCAATCGTGTAAGACAATACTTTTAATTTGTATTTTCACTTTAATTAATACCTTCTATTTTTTTTTGGTTGATGTTTAAACTCGACCATTGAGATTAGTGACTTTATAGTACACTGCATATACCATATTACTTTTATACATATATATTATTACCTATCTGGCTATCTGATAGGCTGGGCCCTAATGAATTATAAATTTAATTTACTTTTAACTAAGTTACACAATGAGTTTAAATTTTCGCCTATAATATAAGACCACATGGATTTAAATTAAATATACTTTGTTTTGTAAATTTTATTTTTTATAAAAAGAAAATTAATAATCAGAAATATCAAATATTATTTATAAATTATAATGTAATGTAATATTCTAAATAAGCACCTACTAATAAATTATGCCGTCGAAATGTTTAGCACTAATACTAGACTCTATAATAGTGATCAGTGTAGCGTATAAAAAAAACAAATTCATACAAAATATTATGTGAAACGAGTTATTTTGTTATTACCTATATTGTATAGTAATTAATAGTAAGTTACAACTAGAGCACTTGGCATTATTTTTTCCAAAGCGATGCTCGTTGTATGACAAATACGTTTCATGTTTTTTGAAATCATGATAAGAAGTTTTCATTTCACATTTTTTAACAATTTATTTTCAATTTTAAGGTCGTTATTTAAATTTTTTTTAATTTTGTTACGTGCTTATAAGGATTTTAAATAATCGAATATTGTTGATCGTACATTTTTGTACGGCATAAAAATCTGAAAATCATACGAAAATAATTATTTTTTTTAGATTAAAAGTCCTTGTAGAAGATTAAAAATTGTTAAGTTCTGCAAAACAATTTAACTAAAAAATATTTTTTGGATCAACACTTATATTTGAAATAACATATGAAAGTCATAATTTAATTGTTTAGTGTTTTTTAGGTTTTTTAAAGGAAATTACATTCTTAGCCATAGTTATAACTAGGGAACAGATTTTATTGTAATAAAAAATCAATATATGTACCAATTTTTCATAAAATAAAGAATAAAAAATAAAAAATATGTAAATATTATAAAAAAAGTATTAGAAGGCATAGAAAATAATTTAAACATAAATATTAAATAAAAGTAGTACAAATGATGTAGGCAGGGCCGGCGAAAGTTATAATAAGAGGCGTCAAACTGAAAATTATATTTCAATTTAATTTATCTTTTGAGCCCCATAAACGAATAACATTATCAATTATTTACACAATTTGAAATATGTATTATCTAATATAGCTTTAATTGAAGGTACATGCTAGTTTTAGTTTAAAAATAATGTATGCACCTAATTAAAACACCTAATATTATGTGTGTGTAAAAGTCGCGACTCGTTCATCGATTATCTTTTGATACCTAATATTTACGTATTTAGAATAATTATGATTTACTCATTTATAAATAAATTCATTACTAATGGGAGAACGATTACACGCTACTCGCTAATACACATACAGCACTGTCTTTCCCGTTGTCGCATATGGCGTAGATGAATAGAGTATTACTAAAAAAAATGTTGGTTGTTTTTACGAGCTTTCGCTTTACAGTATGTAGGTACGGTGCTATTCTGAACCAACAGGTAATAATTACTTATACATATTTGTATTTTTTGTTTTAAGGGTACTTATAAAACCGTATTAAGAAACATTATTATTCATTATTAATATTTTATTTGTTTATTAATTTATTCAACCTAAATACCCGAATCTAAATAAATAAATAATTGTAGGTAGAATTAGTTTTACCATGCAGACAAAAATAGAAAAACCGTCACGAGCCCAGAAAGCGTAGAACCCAAGCTGAATTAGAATTTTTAAAAATGCAGAAATAATGAATAAATATTTTAAAAGTAATAATACTCCAAATCTACTATGACTCACTTCAACATCGGATGCTATGTTCAATTAATGATATAGATGAAAATATTTCTAATTCACCCGGAAAACCTAGTAATGAAGCAATGTTAATCTCTCCTACCTAGTTAAACTTTCGTTCGTTATGATAATAAATAGTACACTTTAAAACAATTCAGTTGATATAAGCGATGAGCCGTTATCCAATTTTTCAAAGCCGACGAGTTAATTTCTTTAGTTAATATTTTGGCATGCTGTAAAGTGTAAAGATCTACATGGAGCACTCGCGGAAGGAGATAATGCTGATATAAATGCCGTAGAGCTTTACAGTGAAATTAAATATCTGAGTTCAATTTTACCAACTAGCAAAGGATCATTAAAATAAGTCCTCCAGTTTATACACGATGAAATTAGTTAATACATTCATTTACACATGGATATCTCTAAGAATATTATTAACGATTCCAGTTACAGTAGCATCCGGTGAATGAAGTTTCTCTAAACTTAAATTAATAAAACGTATTTGCGACATAACTATGAAAAAGCAATCAAACCGTTTTCTGAATTAAAAGCTAGAAAAGCGAGGTTCTTATATTATTATTAATCATTATATTATTATCTATAGTTATAAGTACCACATTTAAAATTATTTTTATTTTGTTAATTAATCCCAAGCGGCTATTTTATAAGTAAATTATTTTAAAGGAATTATTTTATGATCATTTAATTAGATTATAATACAAAATATACAAACATTTTATTTAAACACAAGCACAAAAAAAACACATTTATTTGCTATTTGCTGCTCTACTCAGAATCTAAAATTAACTGAAAATTTTTTTTAACGCACTATGTGACACGACTATTACAGGTGATCAAACACTACATACATTAAATTATTTCTATACAAATTTTTAATTATTACTTATCTAAATTATCTTATATTTTCCCCCGATGCTTAATTAAAATGTTACATCTTTAACGGTCAGTATATTACGGATAATACAAATATTTATTACTAGATAATATTGTCAATAAAGCTGATATGGCTCACGACTCGTATAAGTTTGATATCATACTTGGTAATAATAATAAATTACAAAATTTCGGAAATGTGCATGGTAACGTCACATCCAATATTCGATGCTCAATCGTGTTGCTAAAAAGTATAGGCTTAATCGTAATTTACAGTAACATACACTAAACTGCAATAGTTCAAAACCGTATGCGACAGCCGATTATGAGAATATTATTTTTATTTTTCAATTCTTGTCACAATATAACTAATAAGGTTTATTTACACGAAAATAATCTACAACGCTGGATCGAATTTATTTTAGAAGGCTACAGCAGAACATCAGGTATACAATTACAACACTTCAATAATATTAGGTATTTCTGAGTACAAAGAAAAATAATATTCATGATTCGAACAAAGGCTATAAGGCGTTTAAATAAAAGTATTAGATTATAAAATACAAATACGCATGAAACAATATTTTAAATGTATACCTACTTTAAAAATAATTTATTTAAGAAGAGTATTCTAAATACTACATAATATAATAATTTTTTTTGCACCATAACTCAAATAATTTACAAGATTGGTATCCTGATTCGTAAGTTCTAAAAATATTCTTATATTATGCTAAAATATATTATGCTATGTACAATAAAATATTGCTTTGATATACTGATAAACACTTTAATTATTTTTGTTTTTAATTAATTATTGGATGCTTAATTTATGCAACCAACTTAAAAATAAAATAAATAATTATTTTTCTCGCAAAATTTACAATACATCGATGAAGTCATGAAATAACGCTAAAATACAATTTTTTTATGAACTCTGTTCTTTATATTACCATCAAACTACTTACACTCAACAAGGATAGTAAACTATTATGAAAAAAAATGAAAATCAGGACTATAAATATAATATTTTATTATGTAATAATATGTGTATATAATAAATTATATTCTAGGTGATGTTACACAGTCCTGTAGAAACTCCAAAAATATCATCATTTGGTAGTTTAGTATCACCAGGAAGAGAAACATCATTGGAAATCCACCCTACAGTAGGGTATAAAATACAAATACGCATGAAACAATATTTTAAATGTATACCTACTTTAAAAATAATTTATTTAAGAAGAGTATTCTAAATACTACATAATATAATAATTTTTTTTGCACCATAACTCAAATAATTTACAAGATTGGTATCCTGATTCGTAAGTTCTAAAAATATTCTTATATTATGCTAAAATATATTATGCTATGTACAATAAAATATTGCTTTGATATACTGATAAACACTTTAATTATTTTTGTTTTTAATTAATTATTGGATGCTTAATTTATGCAACCAACTTAAAAATAAAATAAATAATTATTTTTCTCGCAAAATTTACAATACATCGATGAAGTCATGAAATAACGCTAAAATACAATTTTTTTATGAACTCTGTTCTTTATATTACCATCAAACTACTTACACTCAACAAGGATAGTAAACTATTATGAAAAAAAATGAAAATCAGGACTATAAATATAATATTTTATTATGTAATAATATGTGTATATAATAAATTATATTCTAGGTGATGTTACACAGTCCTGTAGAAACTCCAAAAATATCATCATTTGGTAGTTTAGTATCACCAGGAAGAGAAACATCATTGGAAATCCACCCTACAGTAGGGATGGCTACACCAATGTTAGCTGAGATAGAAAAAGAAAAACGTCAATGTGTGTATTCAGCAGAAAAACAATTGAGATTCTATAGAACTTATACTCAACGGAACTGTATACTAGAATGTGAAGCTAATTTTACATTAGCATTTTGTCAATGCGTCATGTATTATATGCCAAGTACGATTATACTATTTAATGTATTATTTGGTCAACATGCTTTGTCTAGTGCTGGGGAATTATTAAAATGAATAAGGTTTTACAGACCATTATAATTTCTAGTTTCTACTATCAATTAGTTTTAATTTTGTATTGGATTTAC